AAATATTATAGAAAATTCCACTTTATTAAATATTAATCAATATTGGAATAAATGGAATTGTTTTAGTTGAACTGGGGATGAAGGAGATGGTGTAAAAGTGCTTCCCATTCATCTGACTCCCAAAAACAGACTTCAAAGGTTCTTTGCTATACTGTAAGAAAACTGTTTTAGAATATAGTTTATATGTCTTCATAGAAACAGTATATTTTATGTCCTATTTTCCTCTCAAAGTTACATTTCTGAATAATCAAATAAATCTGTTTTCTGGAGGCACCATTTGTATGCTTAGCAAAAAATAATTGCCAAAAACAGACTTTAAGATCAATGGAACAGATTAGAAGATGCAGACACAACTACAAAGACATCCAACCACTTTATCTTTGACGAAGAGGCCAAACATGTTCACTGGAAGAAAGATAGCCTGTTTAATAAATGGTGCTGGAAAAATTGGCTTTCCACATGCTGAGGACTAAAACTAGACCCATGTCTATCACCATGCACCAAACTAAAGTAAAAATGGATCCAAGATCTAATTATTAAAATAGAAACACAATCTATTGAAAGACAAGGTAGGTAGAAGTCTTGAAGACTTCGGGGTAGGCAAAGAGTTTATGAACAAAACGCAAACCGCACGGGAAGCACTTCAAAGAATTGACAACTGGGATCTCATATTATTAAACAGTTTCTGCACTTCAAAAGAAATCACCAACAAAGTGAAAAGAAAACCCACAAAATAGGAAAGAATTTTAGCCAGCTGTCTGTCAGACAAAGGACTTCTATCTAGAACATATAAAGAACTGAGAAACAGCAAGCCCCCAAACTCAAAGACACAATCCAAAAATGGTCAGTTAAGATGAACACACGTTTCTCAGATGAAGAAATACAAATGGCAAATAAATACATGAAGAAATATTCAACATCACTGGTCATTTGAGAAGTGCAAATTAAAACAACATTGAGATTCTATCTCACACCAGAAAGAATGGCTGCCATCGGGAAATCAACTGATAACAAATGTTGGCGGATTGTGGGGAAAAAGGAACACGTCTCCACTGAGTGTAGACTGTACAATCACTGTGGATATCAGTGTGGAGAGTCCTCAAAAAATTAGGATTCCTCAAAAAAACTAGGACGGAGGTACCCTTCAATCTAGCCATTCCTCTTCTGGGTATTTCCCAGAAAATGTCATGCCACACTGACATGTGTGCAGCACGGTTTGTTATACCTAAATCTTGGAAACAACCCAAATGCCCATCAACTGCAGAATGCATAAAAAAGTGGGATTTTTATATACTGCAGTATTACTGAGGCATAAATAAGGATAACAGGGCTTTCATAGGTAAGTGGAGGCAACTTGAGACCATACTTAGAGACGAAATAAATCGAACTCACATGCGTGATGGCCATATTGTCTCCCAAGTGCAAAAAAAAATCAAAACTGAAAGAATGAAAGATCCAAAGTATACAATAAATATTGTGATAATGAAAGGAAAAGAAAGTGTTCAAAAGGACAGAACAACTGGGAGAGAGGAAAGGAGAAGAGAAGAAGGGAAAAGATTATATGTAAATAGATATACATATATATATATATATATATATATATATATATATATATACACACACACACATACAAGATAACTATACTACTAATCTCTATTAGTTCATCAAAGGAACAGTTCGTGCTTTCATTTTTGACTATTTGATCATTTTTTCATGCCTAGATACTGTAACCTGAGCAACTGCTTCTAAGATAACAATATATAGTATATTAACTAGTGTTAATTTCCTGTTATTTTTTTGAAATTCTGCATCATTTTTGGTTTTGCTTTTTAAAGCTGGAGTTTTTAGCTCAGTGGCATAAGTACCTGCCTGGCAAATGCAAGGCTGTGAGTTTGATCATCAGTACCAAAAAAATAAATAAATAAAAATAAAAATAAAAAAGAAATAATTGCCAAACTTTTAGTGCTATTAAATACTTTGACCAAAAAAAAAAAAAAAAAACCCATAAAGCATTAAGAGGTCTTCAGAAGGCAGTTTATTTTCAGATGATAGTGAAACCATTCTCAAAGACTTGAAAAAAATCATGAATAACACACTGGAATAAAGGTAAAGGGAAAAAGTCTTTCTGACTAAATAAAATGGCTCATATAACTAGTATTCTGTTTCTCACCATAATGTTTACGTGCTGCATGAACACTGAACATTATTTGAAGATTAGGAGAATTTTTGCTGGTTACAAGCAAATAATGTTGCTTTTGTCTTAAGTGACAAATCATTGCTGTTCTTGGGAATAATCAAATTCTGCTGGCAGAGTGATTATGTGAAACTTTAAAGACTCCAAGTGGCTTAGAAATATGTCTTACCACTAAATTACCTTCTTTCTCAGTAAATTTGGCTCAAGGGTCCCTGTGGTTTGGCATGGGCCAAGCTAATGCAGAATAAAAAGAAGAGGCAGATTCCAAATGGGCCTCGTGAACCCCGTCTGTGCCGACCCCCAGCTCAGCAGCTGAGTCCACGCCAAACGAAACACAGAACAGACGCCAAGAGAGGCAAGGAGTGTCTGATCACCACGCCAGGCCAGGAGCTTCTGAAGGATTCCAAGAAAATACAGACTAGACACCTTTACAGCCTGAGGAATGGCAACAGACGATGTTAAGAACCGTCTGGAACTGGCAGTGGAGACTCTCAGATCACTGTTAAATTCCTAAGGATACCACATGTGATGTCATCCTTGCCTGGAACATTAATTTTTCACTAAGAGTTCTTCAAACTGTCATCTGTTCATGTGTAATTTAATCTTCTGAGTAAATTACAGAGTTATTCCTAGTCCGCATACCTCCTTAACAAATGAGAAAATGAAAGAAAAAAGATTAAGTTGAATATGATCACATAACATAAAGACACAGAACAGAGCACACTACACACAGCCACTGATGTATATGCATCAAGTATCTCTGAGAAGAGACCAAGAAATTCATCCACAGTAGCTGGTACCAGAGAGGGGAGCTGGGGACTCGGCGGGGACAGACGGACACTTGGTTTTCATTCTTCTTCCTTTTGTACATTTTACATTTGGTTCTATGAACACTCATTCTGCTACTCCAAAGCATGTATTTGTAAAACGGAAAATCTCTCAACAAACGTAAACAGTTCCACCTCATCTCCTGACCTCCTTCAAGGAAGCCGGGGGAGCCCTAACAGGAAGGGTGGCCTGCAGCCACTCAAACTGGACACATGTGGTAAGGGAAGGAAGAAGATGCATCTCCAGAGTGCCACTGTAGAGGGAAGGCCTGTCAGTGCTCTGGAAATAGAGTGACTATTGTGGGAGATGAAAACCCAAAGGTTCTTAAACACCAGGTGGATACAGTTATGTGGGCTGATAACGGATGACTGTCTTCCATGGTTCAAGTGATTTAAGAAATTATACTCTACCATATGTTAGAAGACCTAAAATATTTTAAAATAGATATTTTCCATATTTTCCCTTGACTTGTAAAATGGTAAAAATTAAAAATCAAAACAAATTTGCATACAAGGTAGGGGAGGATCAAGGGGGGAAATGCTGAACACCCACATTTAGGCCACAAGATACAACAAAGTCTTCATAGTTCATCTTTGCTTTTTGCTATAGCTTTTTTTTTTTTTTTTTTTTTTTTGGTGCCAGGGATTGAACTCATGACCTTGAGCTTGCCAGGCAGGCACTGAAGCCATTGAGCTAAATCCCCAGCCCTGGCTATAGCTTCTTGGTAACTAGAACCAAGAAGGAATCTTGAACAGTGCCAAGGTTTTCACTAATTGCAAGGGGAGACACATGCTACTTCTTTAAGGGAAACAGTGATACCACAGAATTCATGTTTTAATTGTCTTTGAATTCTGTACATATGCAGAGTCTGGCAACCCACAGCACTTACTGCTGAAAGCCCCTATATCACTTAATTCAGGAAGGAGTTTCTCACACAGAACTTTATACAAGGCATCCTGAGAGAGTTGGTGGCTGGGATCATTAGTATGAGCCTAATTGAAGGAAGTGATGGGTTTTATCAGTCTGTTTCTTACTGTAATCAAATAGCCATGTGCAAACAGCACAGAGCCATGACTCAGGTGAGGCACAGGTAGGATGGAAGCTTAGACTAAAATATGAAGTTGTTTATTCCTGTCAGACATGTTTGACCCATAATAAAAAGCTAGAACATTTACAGATAGACTGCGTGTCCTTTACACACACTGACACACAGCTGTACATACACCACTTCTCCCCATGGAACGTCTGATAATACCACACAGCATGTGACTGTGTTCCAAGTTATTTGCTCTGCTAAGGGCCAGGGGTGCAGGCGCCCTCTGTAGCCGACTTGAGCCTCACGCTGCGTTCTAACAGCAATGTGGGGAACCCCATCTCTATGTTCAGAGCTCTGAAACACAGGCTGCATGGCAAGAGGAACAAGAGCAAAATGGAAATAGTTTAAACGAGAGGGTGCTTCTCTCCCAGAGCGGTCATCTTCACTGTGAGCTGGGAAGACGTGTATTATGGTGTAATCCTTGCCCATGTGGAAAGGGAAGATGAGGCGGAGAACAGCATACTTTGTGGCTTTGCTTAAACCTTGGACGGTTCCCTGGTGGCAACAGGACAGCAGAACATGGGTTTAGGGCATGAGAATGAGGAAAAGGAGGCTCTGAGAAATCTTGGCACAGACTTTGATACTTTCAAGCGGCAGTTGTGTCTTTCTTAATTTTATGATTAATATATGTCTTATAAAGTACAGTACTTTCTTCTGCAGTAATCAGAGGTAGAAATCCTTTGAATTACTGCATTATTACAGCACATGAAACAAAAATCTCAGTTTTCTGCACTGAATAAGTGAGCTGGTGAGGATGGAGATTTCTGTCTGCTCTGGATCAAGTCTGCATCCCCCTGTCTATCATTAGGTCCTAACTCAGGGCTGATTCCTGGGCAGGTATGGTTGACAACACCTCTCAACATCTTGAGTTCATGCCATTACCTTGAACTTCTCCTCATAGTTCTCGAAGGCTTCCATGACCATACACACGGCCTCCATGGAGCGTTCCAGCCGGCCATCCACCCCATTGAAGCGGTACATGCTGCCAGACACATCCACCACCAGGCGCAGACGCTTGGGTTTCTGTTGTGGGCTGCCCAGCTGAAGGAGAGAGAATTATAGCAAAAGTCTGTGAGCCCATCAGTGGCTGCAGTCCTGGGAACGCTCACACAGGCTGTAGAGGGCCAGCCACGAGGCTCAGCCTTTCACGGTGCTGTCTTGGGAGGTGGTTACAGATCACATTTCGGGCGAGTGGAATTCCAGACTTGTGCCGGTAGTCAAGGCCAGATGGAAAAGATTTGCTTTGGAATAGAGTTCTTTCAAGGTCCACTGTAGTTCTAGTAAAGTGGCCTTGTAGAGGCTGACGGCTTAAACATAATATGATATTTAAAAATAATAATCTGGAAAGATACAAACCCCAACATGTCATTTCTCTCTATGCCTCAGAGTCAGTGATTTTAGTGAGTCTGCGTTACTTTGGAGGGAAGCCTACATCAATTTCACTTGTACCTGTTATGCAGTTACTTGAAAATCATTTTCCACATAGGCTGTAAAAAATGTCAGATTTCTAAACAAGGTTATTGGAGACGGCATTTGGCAAAGAACTTAAGGAAAATACTTTTAAAATGTCTTTTGTCTTTAGTAAGCTTTAAGTTTTCTTTTCCTTCTAGTTACTGAACTGTTTCTTGTTTCTTTTTTTGGCAGTTAAAACATGAAAGTGGTGTCAGTTTGCTGTCTGGCAACAACTATCAATTAAAAGGTAAACCTTAGGAGGATTCATCTTGATTTTGGACTCCTACCTGCCATCTATAGAACTCAAGCAAAGTTTGTCAGATTCATTGACAAAACAAAGAAAAAAATTACGGATTATTCTGTCATCACATAGCTGCTGACATGCATGAAAAGTAATGAGCAGAGCCAGTCATTTCAAGAAAATGCTGTGGGTATTAGAGGATGATGGTTTGAGGGAAATTCAGTATATTTCTGAAAAACTTGTTGAGTGTACCCAAATTAACAACAGTGTCACACATACTTCCATGACTGCTCACAATTTCAGAAGTATCCAAACACATTTAGTGACCACAGTGAGTCAGTAAAGAAAGAGGTTGACTCATACCAAGGACCACAAGATCCTCTCTGAGCAGACGGTGAAATGGAGTGAGTGTCCTTGTCCTGGCCAGTGATAGCTTCCCCAGCACTCGGTGGCTACTTGGCAAGTCTGGGTATTAACAGCTACAGGACATCACTGAGTTGTCCAAGACTGTACAGCAAATCTTTTAAAATTGTAGTTGTCTAAAACCTTACCTGTATCAACCTGTAAGGGACAATTCCTTATTTCCTAAAATTTCCTTAAGTCATATGGTGGCCACAGATCTTTAAAGTTACTAAACAGTAGAAGACCACCGAGATTGCTCTACTCTGGTTCCTTGAGGAATCCCCTGGAAGTCACAGACGACAAGGTTCCTTCAGTGTCCACCCCCAGCCTCTTCCAGGACACTGGCTTTGGGGCCTGGTGTCACATGGAAGCTTTCTTAGCTGCCTGCTTGCAGACAGCTCTCCTGGTGGGAGACTCCAGCAGGTCACAGGCAGAGGCTGGATTATTGGTTCCTTCAGCTCCTTCTCTGCTGGAACCCTGAGGTTGGCTCTCTCTCTACCAAAGGTCAGCATTTCATCAATTATCTTCTGTAGGTTTAACCATGCCCTATTCTGCCCTGTTAGATACTGGGTAGAGTGAAACCGTGATGTTGCTAGCACTGAATATTTTGGGCTTTCCTAAATCCCCCCCTTTGTAAATAGTCTTTATGTTGACTGTTCCTTAAATTAGGCAATGTGAGTATGAATTATGTTTCTTGCCGAAATCTTTGTTTGTAAAATAAACAGTGTGATATTTATGCTGTCTCTCCTTCTCCCTCATTCATTGCCCAGGTTTCCATATTCAGGGTTTATGGTGTTTGGGTACAACTCAAGAAACATATTTCTGTAAAGAAGGCTGAACTATGCAGATCTGAGGCCACCAGTTCATTACCTACCTGAGGCTCCAGCTCACCCCGACGTTTGTAGATGGCTTTTTCTCCAGTCAGCCCTTCAATGATTTTGGCATCATCTAGTTCCCCGGTAGCTTGGTGTCTCAGCCACTGTCTTTCTTTACCTTTAGCCTACAATGATATGCAAACCGATACACATAAATCTTTAATTAGTTCTGCAGGATCTTTGACGCACTGCACTTGAATAACAGGAAACACATCAGAAATATTTTCAGTAAGTGATAGTTTTGCATGAAGTCAGTCATGTACATGGACTAGTTTCTGCTCTGGTGACAAATAAATGTCCTTTGTGTGGGTTTTGTCAGCTTTAACTGTGTTAACACACAGAACATTAAAATGAACTCACTTGAAGGACACACAAGCAGGAGACAGTACACAAATGAACCCCTGGAGAAGAGCTCAATATCTGGAAATGGAATGGTAGTATGTTTCTTATGGATTCTCGGTCACAGTGCTTCTAGAAAATTTATTAGCTACAAAAATAATCAGGGTGATCTTGTTAACACTGTCTGCAAGCCCAGAGAAAATGTGGTCTTCAGAACTCTTTCTTTGGGAAAGGAATTTGCTGAACAGCTAGAAACAATAGTATGTGGATATTTTGTATCCCATAGGTTTCCTGGATCTTCTGAATTCAAAAATCTTCTGAATTGATTTTCCACAGTTGTATCTACATAATATTTGCCACAAAATTTACAATCATTATCTGGTAGACTAAGGGGATAATTAAATGATAAAGAACTGTAATATTCCAGTCAGAGGACGTGTATCACAGTTAATGACTATATTTACATTAAGACCTGGGAAAAATAGCTAACAAGCATTTTATGCATACAAATGAGATTATAAGATACTCTATATTCTGTTTTTTTTTTTTTTCTTGTCTTTTTCTTTTTTATCGGTACCAGGGATCGAACTCACCACTGCCTGCTTGCAAGGCAGGTGCTTATGCCTCTGAGCTAAATCCCCAGCCCCTATATTCTGTTTTCACAAACAAAAAAATATGGGAGGTTGGTGAAATTATAGTTAGTGTTTTCATATCTTGTATTTTTTCTGTGCTAAGAAGATGGAATTTAAATTGATTTCTACTACAGTTGTGATCAAATTAAAAAAAAAAACTCTGAAATTAATGTCTAGCTACTGCAGTAGTGAAAGCAAGCTATGTAACATCCAGTAAGATTTGGTAGGGAGTCCTCAGGGCCATTGTCTTGTCAATGTGTTCATGAAATTTAAAAAAGTCAATGCTTAATAACAATGGCACATCTGGTGCCTAACACATCATATAATTTTATTCCAATACAAATTCCTCTTAAAAATGAATACTTGAGCTGAGTTGAAGTGCTGCGGCCTAGTGAAACTTTGTTACACAAGCCCAACAGCACTGTGGAATTTTTCTCTTGGTATCTATGCTGGTAATTAACACTTTGTAAAAATGTCAAAAGAGGTTCCTATTTAGGACATGTGTTTCTTATTGCTGGCTACAGAATTTAAAATATGCTCCTCTTTATTTCCTTTCTTATAATGGTTATCATGCTTAAGCATTGTCTAGTATGAAGACTGTTCCTAATACACATGCTAATAAAGGAAAAGAACTTGGCAAAATTTGTGCTGCAAGTGAAAGAGAAATATATGCTTTTTCCCTGCAGTAAATCTGCAACGCTTGTCTTTTTCTTTTTGCTCAAGTTTCAAATTCAAGTACAATGTAATAAAGTTCATACATTTTAAGTACAGATCTGAGTGAGCTGTTATAAAGTGAATACAGGATTTTAAACAACCAGCACCTCCAAAACCTCTAAGTGTCTTGTTCTGGACTTTTACTTCCCTACTGCCAAAGGCGGCCCCTATCCCAAACTCTCTTATCACTGAGTAAGTTTGCTTGTTTATAGAAATATTCTTTTATCTCTGGCTTCTTTGCTCAACATTATCCTTGTGAAAGGTTTTCCATGTGGCAGGCAACAGCATTTTATTCTTTTATTGCTGCAACAGTATTCCGCCAAATGATTCTCACAATTTATCATTTTTACAATTCTGTCATTTTAAGTTAGGGCCTATTATGAGTAATATCACCATGAACATACCCATGCCTTTCGGAACAGATATGTATTTTGTGGGGTGGAAATGCTGGGTCACAAAGTATGGATATGTTCAGCTTCAGCAGAAACTGTAGCAATTTCTTGAAGTGGTTTTTCCAATTTATATTTCCCTGAGCAATGTTCAAGGATTTCGTTTACTTATAGACCTACAAATACCTGATATTGATAAAAGTTTTTTCAGACAATCTAGTGGATGTATAGTATGCTCTCTTCATTTTTATTCTCAGATAAATGTATTATTTTTGGTATTGTTTGTCTGTCCTACTTTTAGGACCAGTAGCTTTTGCTTTGAGAAGCCCAAGTATGTATCAACCTTTAAACCAGAGTTACTGGGCACAAAGGCATTTTAATAACGATAGCACTGTTCATTAGTTCTTATATATGCAACTTGCAGAGAAATATGTTAAGATAATTTATTTTCTATCGTCTAGCAAGCTAACACTCATAAATTCAAAACAGGAAATGCCCTATCACAATGGATGCTCTTGATGGGCATGGGCTGGAAAGGAAACACTTAAAACAGTTACTAAAGGATAAACAGAAACATTTATTATTTTGGACTCAGACTTCTGTATTTTATGGGGCTCCTTGAAATACTTCTTGAAATAGTAAGTTACCACTGTATTTAAACGAATGCTTTTCCTTGTAACAAGGGGCCAAATACCTTTTTTAATCATATAATCCTATTGCAGAACTAAAGTAGTCTTGTAAATATGCCCATCTGTTTCATATTATATGATAAATTCATACTAATGAGAATGCCTGTGTAAAGCTAGGCTGTACTGCTAAGAAATCTAAGTTACAGATTTTCTAAGAAGAAATATCATTTTAGTGCTTTTATGTAAGGAATACTTAAGACTAACCAAAATGCTCAGAGAATGAGCTATTCTGTTTAATTCAGTTTTTGGGAAACCCTGGTTAACCAGAAAGTGCATGTATATACACAAGCACATACACAGAAACCCGTGTATACCACCGAGGGTGTCAGAATGAATACACTGGACCAAACCAATTATCTTGTGGTTTGTGATACTATCTTGTGATTTTAGTACTTAAAGCATTCTGATTTGTCTCAATGCTCCTCTTATTTGGGTTATAATTTAATAAGATTTCCTGTCCCTAGAAAGTCTACAATCAGATAATTTTCTATTACTCCTTTAGAAGAAATTAGAAAATGAAAGTAGCAATTTTTATAGAAGGTATAAACAGACTATAGAATAAAGCATGTAGAAAAACAGATCAATAAATAACTGAAGGAACATTTAAAGATTCCCTGGGAACAGTGCTTTTTCCTATTTCGCATTAGCTTCCATTATTTTAACGTATTATTTTATCACATCCCTTCACATGCCATCAACATGGACTTTTTATGCTCTAATCTGCACCATTCAAACAAAGACTATTTGCTAGATTAAGGAAAATGTTCACATATTATATTTATAAATTATTGACAAGTAGAAACACAGTTTTACTTTGTGGTTTTCAATATTTTGACATAGTCATTAAAATGCATTACTAAATATACATTAGGTTCTCAACAGTGACAGAATATTGCAAAGAAACAATATGGCCTTATTATTCTAAGGGTCTCTCTCTCTCTCTCTCTCTCTCTCTCTCTCTCTCTCTCTCTCTCTCTCTCTCTTTTCCTCTTCTTCTCCCTCTGGCTTTTTCCCCTACCCCCATGCTTCTCTTCCTCTTTTACTGTATTACTGGGGATGGACGCCAGGGGCATTCTGCTACTGAGATACATCACAACTCCTGTTGCCCCTCTTTGTAAATTTTGAGATGTCTTACTAAACTCTTCAGGCTGGTGTCAAACTTGCAGCCCTCCTCCCTGCTGCTCATGAGTAGCTGAGGTTATAGGCATGGCCCTTTTTTGTTCTCCTTTTGTTTTTTTTTAAGTAACATCCCCATTGCAAGGGAAAATGGTGATTCATGTACTTAGCAAAGATGATTTTCATTAGAAGAATGTCTGTACAGTTTACTGTCACTTGGCACTATTTCTGCATGAACATAAACAATTTTAGGGCTTTCCTTTAAGAATTAAATATGTCGTATCTCAAAGGAGCTGGTAAGTATACATATTGATGGTATGTCTACAACAGGGATTTTAAACTGTTTAACAAACTCAAAACCTTAGATTCTACCCCTAATAATCTGTTGTGTGTAGGTCCTTATCATTTCAGGAAAAGGCAATGAACAACTCCACTCTTCTAACTGTTTAGGACACCCACAGGAGACATTCTTGACTCCCGTTACATTCACACCCAGTCCAGTTGCAGGTCTTCTAGACCAGGTAGCCTCCCACTGATGTCCCTGTTCTCACCTTTGCCTCTCTCTTAGTTACTGTCTCATAGTTGAGATACAATAACTGAAACCTACAATTTAAAAGAGGAAAGTTTATTTTGGTGAATACTTTGTAGGGGTTCCAGTCCACAGCTGGCTGGCTCCAAGGCAGAGGGCAGAGCAGAATGGAATCACAGAAGGGAATGCCAGAGGAAAATTGCTCATGGCATGGCGGGTAGGAAGTAGAGAACAGGAGAGAAGTGAGGAAGGGAGATAAATCCTTCCAGCCCACACCTTCAGTGATCCACTTTCTCCAACCAGGCTCCACCTTCTCAAATCAGGCTTAGCTATAGATTTATCAGTGTACTAATCCACTGATAAACATCAACCCTCATGATACTATCGCCTCCGAAAAGCCTTCTATGAATGAGTACATGAGGTTTTGGGCACATGTAGGGTGGGGGTGGCGTCTAATACAAACCATAACAGTCTGCTCTTCACACAGCAAATAAAGGAAACTTTATAAAAACCTGTGATTTGTAAGAAATGCATTTAAAAGTGCTGCCATGGTTAACTATATATTTTTTTAAAAAAGGTTGAATTTATATTTTTTTGGTCTTTTTTAAGAATGAAGGAGGCTTCCAGAGTGGTGCGCAGCAGAGAAAGAGTCTCTCTAAGATTTGGTACTCAGACACTGGAATATAGCTATACAAAGAGGAGAAGAAACAGGGAGGT